GGGGGGGGAATAAAAAATACAATTCAAGCATTACTGACACGCGCAGTAAGTAAGGGGAGTGATATCGACCTCATAGCATTGCAGTCGCCGCTGTCCCTCAGACTCGCCGTGGCGACTACGCACTCTCGTCCCTATATGATATCAGGTTTAGTTCCAGATCCCCCTATATTGTTGCCTGCCTACCCACACCCAGGTTTTTATTCCCACTCTCCGACCAACGCTGATCAAACACCGACATCGAGGGCCGGGAAGCTATTGGCCTCCATTCTATCTCCAGTTCGCCTCTTGCGACAGATTCCGTATACCGGGGCCCAGTGGTTGGCTTCTTGGTTGAAAGGAGAGCGAGCGTAAGTCCGCCTTCTAATACCGACATTCCGCCCTCCCAAACATCTCGGAGTGAGGCGCGAGATATCTTCATCCAGAAAAGCTGTCGTGTAACTGACAGACACGTCACGGCTGGACCAAAAAGCAGACTGCTATATGCATCGTTACGCGGAAAACTCGGACACCCCTAATTTCCTTGCCTACCCTCGCGCAAGACGTGGTTCTCGCAGTCTGTACGAGCACAGCCCCTGCAAAGCTGCGTTTCCGCCCCTCCCTACGTATAGGGCTTCTGGGCCCACACTGAAACCCAAGGGCTATAAGCATGGATTTCCGGGCTATCCAGCGCCCTCTTGATATCCCGTTGCAACGTTTCTGCTTCTTGCTTCGACGACAGGCCCATTTGGGGCCATTGGACGAGGGCAGCCCGGAAAAACTCCCACAGAACATACTTGCTCACAAAGAGCCCCAACTCACGCCGTCTCGTATCGCGACACCAGGCGCCAATGGGTAGCTTGTGCTCCTTATGACGAGCCTTGACGAAGCCGATCTGTTTGAGGACGTCGGGAAGCCGGTTGACGAGCAGCGGATCCCACCCGTGGGCTGGTGCGAAGTTTTGGAGATACAAATCTCGGAACTTGGTCGGGGGATAGTTTTCCGGTATACTTCCATCGTCGCAGGTGATGTTTGCTGATGTCTCTTGGATCTCGATCCAGCCTCCCGGTTTGAGATTTCTGCGAGAGAGGAATGAGCGGGGGGCGGCGTATTCTATTGCAGTTTGAAAAGTAAAACAGAAAAAAAGAAAGAAAAAAATAGAAAAAAAGAGAAGAAAAGAAAAGGACAGAACCCACTGGTAGGCCATTGTGAGCACATGAATCGGATCCGCCAAAGTCGTGACCACTGATCTGAGATGTACGAAATCGAGATCGGAATACGGCGGATCCCATGCCGTGGTCTGAATATCGTCTATCCTCCACGTGACGTTCAGGGGCGCGCAAGCGATCTGGATGGGAGTAATGTCCACGCCAATGACTTGGGCGCTGGGGAATTTGTCGGCGACTGAGCTTGACGTTAAATTGTCAGAGTACGTTGTGAGGAGCGGGAGCTCGAAGAAACCTGCTGACCATCGATAGCCCATAAGCCAATGCCGGTCCCGATATCGAGTATCCTTTGGGGATTACCACCGATGGGGGCCAGATAGTCGGATCCGTCGAAGAGCCTCTTGATCATATGGTGCTTCATTTCTTCGCGCTCCTGCTCAATGTCGTCATTGGGTAGAGGGTATCCTCCCCGGGCGAAGGACTGGTAGCGCCTAAGAGTCCAATAAATGGTAAGCAATTGGGGGGGGTCTCGGGGGTGCAGCGTTGGTGAGTGGCGGATGATACACACCGTCCGTCTCGGTGGCAATGGCGCAGGATATAGGAGGCCACAGAGGTAAATCCGGAGGAGTTCAAGGAACTTCCATAATCTGAAAACCCGACTGGCCGAATGCTATCGATGTGACTCGGTGTAGCCACATCGGTATGTGGGTTGTCGTACGTAGAAGGGCCCGAATTCAGATCCATAGCTACGGGACGAACTTGCAGATGGTTGCAGGAGCTGGGATTTTTTTGCAACTCAGGGAAAGCTTCAAGCTTATGAGTATCACAGCAGCTGCTCGTCCTCACACTGGCTGATGACAATCCTTTGACCCGACCCTTCCTCCTAGAGAAATACAAATGACGGTAGGGGAAAAAAAAAAGGAAAAAAAAAAAAGAGAAGAAAAAGGCAGGAAAAAGAGGAAGGACACAGAGAAGAAGAGGCAGACGCCAGGCAAATGGAGTCGCAAAGAATGGGGGGAAAAGAGACTGGGGCTTTGTTCAACGCTAGAGGCTATCTTCAGAAGCTAATCGAAGGCCATGAGAACCGACAGACTGGTTCAGCGCTTATGCAAGAAGAAACCGACGACCGCAGGGTTGGACCCTGTCAAAAGAGCTAGTGAGAGGCTGCACGGAGTTGTAAATATTGGAACCAAGGTTCTCCCCACGAGAAAAGAGGAGGGAGATATGAGGGAGGGGTCGAGGTGTAAAGCTCATTGGGGAAAGTCAAGTGAGATGAAAAGCCACGGATGACAAGGGGGGTTGGTGAGCAGCATGAGTGGCATGGGTTGGGTTGGGGATATAATAACAGAAAAAGATAGGACCGAGTTGTACGTGTAAAGGGAATGAATGTGGTAGATGTTGTATGGTATGATGCACAACAGCAGCAGGAGCATCAAACAAGGACTTGTGTGTAACAATACTAAAGCATCAGAAGATAGACCAGAACAGCACTGCAGCTGATGTGTCCACGTAGAAAAGGAGATGCAAAGGTCACCGCTTTGTGCCCCCCCAGAGGAAGAGTAATAGCAAGAATGAGTCCAGGAAAAAATGAAGCAGGTCAGGACGATCGTAGCCTAGGAGATATAGAGCTGAGCTGAATTTTGCGAATCATAACGGCCTCACCTTCAGGTGATGCAAGTAGAAAAGACCCTGTTGCTCGGTTGGAGTCCACACAATCGGCCATGGCAACGCAACTGGACTCGTTTCGAGAAATTCAGGAATCGAGTCTTCTCATGAAATCAGGTGTCGACTTCCCCAAGAGATACTCGAGCCAGCCATTTCGGGTCCCTTCTAATTAAGATTCGAATCTCAAGTGAACTGCCATCGTGGTCGAAGTTGTTAAAGCCGAATGTCCTCAGAATAGGTAATCCGGTAATAAGATAAGATAGGATAAGTACAGTAATGTTCAATGTATACAGTATATGGGCCATCTGAGATATTTCATATAAACACTGTGTGTAAAGTGGGACCCAAAACAACACACACGGTACGTACCCCTGTTACGGAGGGTACGTACCTATGGGAGGGGCGGGTTGATTGATTAGTTCCCGTCGCGTCAAATTAATTCAGCACCGCGTCTGGCGTGTCGGGTCAAGGTCAAGTCAACACCGTTCCATTATTCACCCATCACCTTTTAGTATCTGACAAAGTGACATTATTCCTCACTGTCCCCTCTGCCCTACTCTGTGTTTCTTCACATAACACAACAGATCCATCATACTGCCTTCTTCTCCTTCTTGTATCCCTAGTCACTCCTATCGGTGGCCTTCTACTCACCGTCCTACGTCCTACGTCCAGCATCCATCCTCTTGCTGCATCAACAAACTGAACGCGTCCTATTTCCCACAAGAACAGAAAAGCCAACAAGACCTCACCTGTCCATCTTCGTCCTACGCTGCATTTCAAAACATCCAAGGGCCCTTGGGGCAGCTACACGCCTCTACTTCGGCCGTCGACTTGAGCCCATGAATCCACGCAGTCCGCTTCGAGGAAACGCGTCCACGTCCACGTCCACGTCCTAGCCATGTATCTACCCCGCTCGCTGATATCGAAGCTCTATCTGCACCTCCAGAACACGCGCCATCCCCTCTCACCACCCGTTCTCATTCTCGCCGCCCTCGAACCCGACGCCCTGTGCGCGTGCCGAATCCTGACGCGCCTCCTGAAGCATGACTACATCCCGCACAAGATCCAGCCCATCTCCGGCTATGCCGATCTCGAACGCGCCGGCCGGGACCTGGTCCAGCCCATGATGGAGTCGAATGGCGGGAGTGGCGGCGTGGTGGTCAGCTTGGGTGTCGGCGGCATGGTCGACCTCGGTTCCCTGCTGGGACTCGAGCCCGAGGGCGGAGAGGCGACAGCGACGTTTTCCGGCGTCGAGGTCTGGATTTTCGACTCCCACCGTCCGTGGAACTTGGGAAACGTCTTTGGCGGCTACCGTCTCGAGCCTGCCTCGGAGGAAACGCAAACGGAAACGGAAACGGCAACGGTAACGAGCGCCTTGTCGACCAGGTGTCCCCCCGGTGCCAGCCGGGGTCGAATCGACCGCTCTTACACCCCCGGCAAGGGAGGCATTATCGTCTTCGATGACGGGGACATAGAGGACGGCCTTGAGGCGGAACGGGAAGCCTACATGAGTTTGCTTGACATGCCCGACGTGGAAGACGATGGTGAGGACCTTGGCAACATCGACGACGAACAAGACGAGGACCTTTTTTCCGAGGATTCTGTCCGTGTTGGTCAGAAGAGGAAAAGCTGGTCAGACCGGGGAGAAGAGGAGTCGAGCGGCGATGAGGACCGTCCAGCCCAGCGCAGGAGGAGCAACTCGGTAAGGAAAAAAAGAAAAAGAAACCCCCCCGCTGCCTAATCCCTAAACGAAAGATGAGACGGTAAAGTAGCTTGCGCAGGGATCTGACAGTAAACAGTCCAATTCGATACCCTCCTCTCCTCAACGACTACCACAGAGGGGCGGCCTCTTATCATTAAGAGGAAATCAAACTTCAGCCCTTTCTAGCGACCCCCTCGAACCCCCGTCAGCAGCTCAACCACCGCCAGCGCCATCCACCAGAACTCTCCGACGCCGCCTCCTGCGACTGCGAAGGCAGAACGAGCGCGTGCTACAAAACTACTACAACATGGGAGCGTCCTTCTCCGAGCCGATATCGTCCATGATGTATTCCCTCGCGTCGGACCTCGGCCGGGAAGACAACGATCTCCTCTGGCTCACCATCGTAGGCGTCACCTCGATGGAGCTCTACGGCCGGTCGTCAGCCGGCATCGCCGTGCCCGTGCGCAGCTCGGACCGCGCGCACGGCACAGGCTGGATGGGCATCCGGGGCACGCGGATCCGCCAGCTGCTGCGCGACGAAGTCCGACGCCTCAACCCGCCGGACCTGAGCAGCAGCGGCAACCCGCGCAACGCAATCGAGAACACCGGCATCATCCCCACGACGGCGCGGAGCCCGGAGGACACCTCGATCCGCCTGTCGCCCGAGCCGCGGTTCCTCCTCATCCGCCACTGGAGCCTGTACGACAGCATGCTCCACTCCCCCTACCTCTTCTCGCGCCTGAAGACGTGGAGCGAGCCGGGCCTCAAGCGGCTCCACAAGCTGCTCGCCAAGATGGGCGTCAGCCTCGCCCAGTGCAAGCAGAGCTATGCGCACATGGACATGATGCTGAAGCGGGAACTCCGCACCAAGCTGCTCAAGTACGCGTCGCTCTACAACCTGGACGACATGGTCCCGCCGGTGGACTCGGACGGCCGGGACCGGGCCGGGGCGAAGGACGGCTGGGGATTCGTACGGAGCTGGGGGTGGCGGGCCACGCTGAGTGCGCAGGACGTTGGTGTTATCATCGGCGCGCTCTTGGAGGTGGGGAAACCCGTGGATGGCGCGGCGCAGTCGGCGCCTGAGACGGTGCTCGACGCGGAAGATGACGGCACTGCGGCTGAGGGCGAGGAGTGGATTCGTCGCTTTTGGGAGGCCTATGATGCGCTGGAGAAGTGAGTTTCCTTTTTTTGCTTCCTTTCCTTTTCCGATCGCGAAGACAAACAAAACTGACACGCTATAAACAGCATCGAGAGCCTCAAGGCCGGCCTGCCCACGGCCCAGTTCCTCCACCGGGCCATCTACCGCACGGGCACCTCCCTCATCAACAAGAAGCAGATCCGCCACCTCCGCGCCTTCCGCATGTGCGTCGTCAAGGACGGCCCGGACGTATCGCTCTTCACCCACCCGGCGGCGCTGACCAAGCTGGCCCTCTGGATCGGGGAGGCGCTCGTCGAACAGGAAAGGGACACCACGGGACGCCTCTCCCACGGCGGGCGCGGCACGCCCCTCGTCGTGGCCAGCCTCAACGAGAAGCGGGGCGTCTACGTCGTCGTGGGGACGGGGGGCGGAGGGGGGCCCGATACGACGTTCCTGGACCGCGAGGCGGCGCGGAAACGGAAGCAGGCGCGGGAGGAGAGGACGAAGGCCAAGGAAGAGGCGCGTCGAAACAAGGCGAAGGTTCGGGAGGAGAAGAGGGCGGCGCGGAAAGCTGCTGCTGGCGGCGATGGAAATGGTGGCAATGACGATGCGGACGAGCTCGAGACGGAGTCTGAGGGGTCGGATTCTGAGTCCGAGTCGAGCGATGACGATGATGACGATGACGACGTGGGACAGAAGCGGGAGCGGGGGTACGGCCTTAATAAATTCGGGTCGGCCTTTCAGGAGGTGGTGGCGGAGACCAATGCGCGTGTGCGGATTGATAGCTTTGAACACTGCGTGGTGGAAGTGCGCAAGGAGGACCTGGGGGGGTTTCTTGAGAGTTTGAGCATGAAGGCTGTGGTGGGATGAGATGCTGTCTCTTTCTTCGTCTCTCTCTCTCTCTCTTTCTCGCTCTCTCTCTCTCTCTATGATGGCGGCTGGAGTTCTGTCGTGGGTTTGTTTGTCTCTTCATCTTGTCGTTCGGCATGGGGCATGGGTTTGGCGAAGCAATGTTCTCAACTCTCTCACTGCTTCCCTCCGTTTCTCTCCTTGCCTTATATCTCGCTCAATTGTGTGCATTGGAGCATGGACGGAGCATGGACGGAAGATGGAAGGTAGATCATATCGTTCTGGGATCTGAAGGGCACCCATGCTTTAGAGTGCGGCCATGGGAAGCAGGGTAGGTAGCATGCGAAGCCATCGGCATATGATCACTTGGTTCACGAAACCTCATGAGCCCAGATGTTCATTGCAACTTGCTATGTTGGAAGCCATGTGGTACCGGACACGGCAGCGCAGAGCAGCGTATAATTGATGCCAGAATAGACCGGATCGCCTTCACCCTGACCACCTGTTCGATTTCTGTTAACGACGTCCCCCAGGAGGCCATGGTGTTTATCAAGTCGAGATGCGACCTCCCGCTGTTTGGCGAGGTTTCGGTATTATTCTCGGATTGATCACGGCGGAACGAGAACGATGGTCACGCACATCTGTGTTGTTTTCTAACTGATAATTGAGTAAGGTAAGGTAGATATTCCTCTTCGCCTTGGTGGATTTAATACTAGGTACCTAGGGCAGATGGCTTTACCTTACACGTGCTTCGTTTGACCCGGTGATTCACTGCGTAAGGTACATGTAAGGTAATTTGCCTTACCTACTTCGTGCTCGTCGGTCAACCCAAGGTATCAAGTCTCTATACTTCGTCCTAGTAGGCACCCCTGAAGAGAAAGTTCAAGTTTCGCGCTGTCTTCTGACCTTCTGACTCTTCAGAGACAGAACATGCCGCGATGAGGTACAGGTACTGTGAAGTCCGGATGGCCTGCTTACCAATACATGCCCCATTCGTACATGTATCACTTCATTGGCTGTGGATCGCGCCAGGAGCGGAGCCTCATCCAGGCTGGCGTCTAATACCCCCCTCCCCCTCCTCTGGAGTCCCAAGCCTTTCTATACACCCCCTCATGACATACATACCTGACCTGCCTTACCTTTTACCAAATATCTCCTCTGTACCTAAGACTTGACCCCTCCGTGTTAGTAGTACCCATCTATCTGCGTAGTAGCACCCATTGCTTCTTACAGGTACCTCTATTATCCCTATCATTTCGTCGTCCCTCCAACTCCTGCCCATGACATTAACAATTCTCACCAGCATCATCATATCACGTTCCTTCAGCCCTCCTACAAGCTTTCCCGACTGATCCGATTCCCAATTCCCAATTGTCAATCGTCGACGCCCACCACCACGAGTCACGGCCTTATATCACCTCACCTCTTCATTGGTCGCCAAATACTCGCCTCCTCGGCCACTCCTCCACCCTGCCGCTCCTAGAGCCAACTTGAAAGCATCGGGACGCGCCGCCAGCTTTCCGAACTGAAACCCCTTTCCGATCCGAGTCTCTCCCATCCGACACACGCTTCGTCCCTTCCCACCGACCGCCCTGCCGCTAGTCCAACCATCCTCCCGCTTTCGCTGCGACGTTTTTATCCCTTGGATAGACTAGACACACTCGCCGTGGCATTTCCTTTCGCGCGATTCCCATTTCCTCCAACGTCATCTCGGAATAAAACGTGACGCCCCAACATCCAACCTACCTTGTACGGTAGTGAGCGATTCGAGGTTACCCCGCCAGCACCATGGGCAAATCGTAAGACTTCTCTCCTTTGCGGCCCATCTCCGCCCCGTCACCATGCCCGCAGCGCAGCCGCAACTTGGCAGCGGCAGCGTTCTTTCTGCCGGAGTTGCTGTATAGCGCGTGCATCTGGCTTGTCTCTATGCCTCACAACACCTACCTGCTAACCTTGGACTGCCCATCGCCATAGACAATCCAAGCTCTCGCAGGAGCAGCTCAACGACCTCCAGAAGTCCACCCATTTCGACAAGAAAGAACTTCAACAATGGTATAAGGGTATGCACATTCCCCTCTCCCCTACGTGCCGTGTCGCCAGCCCTGTGCAATCTTTCACCTTTTATTAAAGCACTGCGGTCCGCTCCTACATCCTCCGGCTTTTCATACTAAAGCACGCCTGTGCATGTAGACATGCCAACTAACCTTGCACCGTCTCGTCGCAGGCTTCCTCAAGGACTGTCCATCTGGCACTCTCACCAAGGAGGAGTTCCAAAAGATCTATCGCCAATTCTTCCCTTTCGGTGACCCGAGTTCGTTCGCCGAATATGTCTTCAACGTCTTCGACAGCGACCGATCCGGCACCATCGATTTCAAGGAGTTCATCTGCGCTCTCAGCGTTACCAGCCGCGGCAAAATGGAGGACAAGCTTGACTGGGCTTTCCAGCTCTACGACATTGACGGTGATGGCAAGATCAGCTACGACGAGATGCTACAGATTGTAGAGGCCATTTACAAAATGGTAAATTCCCTTCCTCTTGCCCCTTCTGCTCCTTTCCCCCCTTTTTTCTTTTCTTCTTCTTTTTTTCTTCCTTTTTTTGGGGGTCTAGTAGGGCTCTTCGCTAGTACTAACGACCCTTATCTCGCCAGGTGGGGTCAATGGTAAAACTCCCCGAAGACGAAGATACCCCGGAGAAACGCGTGCGGAAAATCTTCCGCATGATGGACAAGGACGAGAACGGCAGCCTCGACCTGGAAGAGTTCAAGGAGGGAAGCAAACGGGACGAGACCATCGTCTCGGCCCTGTCGCTGTACGATGGCTTGGTGTAGATGGTCTGGCGCACGGGAAGGAGGAAAAAGAATAGGCATGATTCCAGAGAGGAGACGAAGGAAACACAAGCAAGGTCGCGGATCCCGTCACACGAAGTGTTGTCAGGGGAGAGCGCCTACATCGTAGTGCTGCCAGAACCACCGGCGAACGGACGGAAGAACGGGAGAGGGGACGGACAGACGGCCTTGTTCGGGTTACGCTTCGATCCCATATGGCGAGAGCATACTAAATCCGCCCTCGTGGACCAGGCGCCGAGCAGAGTAGGAAAGGAAAGAAATAAAGAAAGACCTATCATGTCACATGCACTGGACAAACCAGGGGTCCAATTCTCGTGTGAAAATGGTATTTAAAACTATCTCAAGATGGCGCGCATACATTACGATAAGGGGCGATGATAGCCGGACGCAAGCATAGACGGACGATTCTCATAAGACCAGAAACGGAACGACCCTGCCCTCTGTTGCTCTCCAAAGCCCACCTCCACTAAACGAAACCAATAAAATAAAATAAAATAAAAATGGTAGCGCAAGTCCCGAGGATTAACGCGCAAACTGGACCAAACTCCGGGGATATCAAACCTGAAAGCGACGCACACCAAAAGTACGCACAAACAGGAGAGAACGAAAGGGAATCCCTCCTCTCAATCACATCTCGATACCTGCTTGGCACCCAACAAGGCAGACAGACCAACAGATATACCGAGGATTCAGTCAAGAAGGAAAGCCCGCCATGTCGGCAACAACAGGTGTCGTTCAGCTAGAGATGCCATAAGCCTTGTCCACCTGGGCCTTGTACTTCTCGAGAATCTGCTTCCGCTGCAGCTTCTGAGCGGCAGTGACAAGACCCTATCAGAGAGGTTAGCGCTTCATGTTCTCGAAAAACCACGAAATGGACGAACAACCAAAAAAAAACCAAGTAAAAAATATACTCACATTCTGCGGGGTCCATTCGTCATCGCAGAGAGCGACGCCTTCGATGATTTCAATACCGGACAAGCCGCCCTGGCGACCAGCATTCTGCAGCTCGGTGAGCACGGCGGCGTTGAGCTGCTTGTTGCCGACGAGCTCGTCCAGGCTGTCGCCCTTGACGCCGATGGACTTGGCAAGGTTGACGAGAGCGGGCTCCGCCGGCACAATGATGGCGATGGGCTTCGTCTTGGAAGCGTCCGCGTACACGCAAATGTTGGCGACGACGTGGGCGGCGCGGTAGACCGACTCGAGCTTCTCGAGGGCGATGTACTCGCCGTTCAGCGTCTTGACCAGGTTCTTCTTGCGGTCGATCAACCGGAAGTGGCCGTTGTGGTCGATCTCGCCAATATCGCCCGTCTTGAACCACCCGTCTTCCGTGATGGCCGCCTTGGTCTCCTCGGGGTTCTGGTAGTACTCCTCCAGGACCGAGGGCCCACGGATCCACACCTCGCCCTGAGGGTACGGCTTGTTGGTGGAGAAGTAGCCGGCATCGGGGAAGTCGACCAGCTTGAGCTCCACGGAGGCGGGCATGGCGCCCATGGACTTGTTCGTCCACTCGTGCGGGCTCATCAGGAGACCCATAGCCGTCGTCTCGGTGAGACCATAGCCGATAATCATGGGCGCGATCGCCATGGAAATAAAGTGCTGGGTTTCCTTGGCCAACGGACCACCACCGCTCATACAAAGCTTCAGGCGCCCGCCAGTGGCGTCCTTCAGCTTCTTGAACACGATAGAATCGAGCACCCCGGAGCCCGGAAGACCGGAAGCCATGAGCGTCGATTTAAGGCTCATGGCGTTCCAGAACATAGCCTTGACAACAGGGCTGCTGGCGTTGACCTTGGTGATAATACCCTTCTTCACCGACTCCCAAACGGCCGGAACACCCACCATGATGGAGGGCTTGAACTCTCGAATGTCACCCAGGCAGTTACGAACGGATGCGTCGGAGAGGGTCTTGGGATTTCCGTACCCCAGAGTGGCGCCCCAGCACAGCGCCGCGTTTTCGAAGACGAACTCGAGGATGTGCGCAAGGGGAAGGAAAGCCAAGAGGCCATCGCCAGGTACGATGGGCGGTGCGACAACGGAGCCAGCACCGGCAACTAGACACAGCAGGGTTAGTATACTTTTTTTGAGTACACGAGCGACGACGATTGATCATGGAAACGAAAGCACATCGGGAACTCACTCGCAGCAACGACTGCCCTGTGCTTGAGAGGGACGCCCTTGGGGGTACCGGTCGACCCGGAAGTGTACATGATGCAGCAGAGGTCCTCGGGCGTAGGCGGAACTGGGTCCACCGGATTCTCCTCGCCAAGCTTCCGCAGCTCCTCAAAGCTGAGGATGATGACGTTGGGGTGCGCCGTCTTCAGCTGAGAGACGTGCTCTTCGTTGATCTGGTGCTGGTCATTCCAGACGACAATCTGGACGTCCTTGGCGTCGTGAAGAACGTTGATCAGGGTCGGAATCAGGTGAGGGTCGAGGAAGATAGCCTTGGCTGCGGTAGCCACCATGGAGTATCGCAGACCTTCTTCGCCCAGAGTATCGTAAGCGGTAACAATCGGCATAGACTGGGTGGTGGCACCGTGGGCTGTGGCGAGCCAATTGGCGCTCGTCGCAGCAAAGACGTGGACGCGGTCGCCGGCGACCAGGCCCAGCTTGCGGAAGCCGGCACCGATCTGGAGGGTGCGGGCCTCGTACTGGGCGTAGGTGATGTATTCGTAGGGGCTCAACTGGAAGTAGGTCCACTTCTTCTCCACCTCCTGCTCTTCGCCGTTGACCATCTTCTTCACCATCTTGGTTTCGACGTGGGTGTCGACGAGCTTGCGGGAGCCGACGCACTTGGAGTTGGCAAACTTGGCGGCGGACTTCCTGAGCAACTCGTAAACGGTGGTGATGTCGGCGCCTGGTTTTGTGTAGAGATCAGGGACGGTCCCCGGACGCCGGCGCGGCAGGGTCTCGCCCTTCGGTTCCGGTCCATCTGGGTAGGGAACAGTGAAGGGAGGCTTCACCGTCATCCGGGGGAGGATGTTCGACTTGGACTGGGGTTCCGAGTGCGGCTGCTTCCCAGTCATGGTGGCGGTTGGGATTCGAGAACGACGACGATGGTTTTTGGAGAGAAGGAATCCCAAGTGCGAAGACGACGGTGAATCGGGACTACAGAGGGCAAGGTTCTATTCAAAGGATATACACGCTGGTTTGAGGAGAGGAGAGAGAGGGCGAAAGCAGTGAGAGACGCGTGGGACTGCGAGGGATTGGGGTAAGAGTGAGAAGAAGCTGGAGGGGGAACGAACCGAGAGATCTGGGGAAGTTGGGTAATTTCAAGAGAATGGAGGAGGCCGGAATGGGGGGCCGAGGTGTCTTTGTGGGTACCTGGCCTGTTCTTTTATTAGTGGAGTTTAGCTTCCCGTTTTGTTGAAGGGCTAAAAGGTACAAAGTAGGGGGGAGCTTGAGATGAGAATGACCAGCAAGCCCGGCTTGGTAAACACGAAGTACGTTGTATCTTTTCCGTATGTACTTCGTATATACTTCGTATGTACTTCGTAACTCCAACCGGCCGCCCCCTGCAGCATAGCCGTCCTTGGCCTTACCAAACTTACCCTTGTGTACTCCGCACCTGTGTGATAGATTACTTCTGAGTGGCTGCCTGCTGTGCACTACATTGGTCAGGGAGGGGAAAATGTGGAAATTTCGAAGCCCACCTACCCCAGTGTCAAAAATGTACCCTAAACCAAACAAAAGCACAACCTTATGAAACCCGTTGTTATTTGGGGCTAGCTACGGTGTCAACGTGCCCTTATTCTTATGCCCTTACCTTGGTTAGACGGCCGGCACTGCGACCTGAGTGTTATTGGAGAGTTGTATCAGTTACAGCGTATGTACTAGCGCCGGAGATTTGTGCATGATGCTACCAAGGGAAGACTTCTTAATTTCGTGACAGTCGCAGACACGCATCCCCTTTTCCGTATCATGATTTTCCACAAAGCACGAGGAGTGGTACGGGTATGTACGTACCTAGGTACAATACGAGGTACGGGGTACATGGAGTACGGTACCTATGTACCTTCCCTTACTTGGAGTAGCCATGCTCGGGGTCACGATGGCCAGTGCTCGAAGATATTGGAACCCAAGAGACAGGACCAAGTCGCTAGGGCCGCATTGGTATTGGTTCGAAAGCGCCCGCCCGCTTGGCATCAGTCAATGCAGGCGTTGGCGTCCTCCTGGGCATCCTCCCCAAGCCTAACCATACCTAGGCAACGCGACTAAGGCAACTGCGAAGCAGCATACCGGTATGTACAACGAACCCAATGGCTCCAGTGGTCATTCGTACAGTACGAACGTACCTCTTCCACCCCTTGACAACGTGGATTCAGGAGCTTCACGTCATGTCGCAGTTGCTACCCCACCTAGCTAAGGTACCTGAGAGGATACATTGTCCTGACCCTTACCACCGACTAAGGTACCTTACCTTACCTTACGCATGTACCTTTGAAGTACCTCCCCTAATGCTTACCTTGGCTACCTAGCCGGGGCTGCCTTCAATCCCCAGGCAACACGAACCTATCGCAAATTAGCTGCTCTTTGAATGGCTCGAAGAAGAGGGTACGTATCACGTACTCTGGACGGTTGGATTCGTAGTTTACCCAGAAATAACGTGGTTGGGTTATCCGTTGGAAAGGAGTCGAGGGAGAGGGAGAGGGGATGTCTCCCAAGCTTACGGATAAGGAACCCTGCAGTCTTACGAAGAGACAGACAGTTCTCGATGGGACGATGCATGGGACTCGGGAGCGAGCAATCTCACGTTTCTCAGCCCGTGGGAGGGAGGCGGGTGGGCCTATGTATCGCCGTTCCCGCGTGTGGCAACGCAATCAATGGGTGGCCGAATCGAGGTCAAAGGGTGACCACGATGTCTGTTTGCAGATACACAGCACTGACGAGCCCGAAATCCCCGATGCTCCCTATCAGACTCTGGGGTAAACTAAAAGAAACACAAACCTATCGACTTATATGGATACGGCGTATAAGGCGGCCCCAGTCTCTTTCGCCTCCAGGCTACTTTTTTAGTGTAGAGCCGACATTCAACCTATGGCTTCATTATGTGAGCCCCCCCCCCCTTCTCCATGGGGGGTGGGTGGCACTACTGAGCTCGGCCCAGGCCTTCGTCGAGCCTACCGTACGCGCAATCCTCAGGCCGAGTGGAATTGCGGCGCCCTTGGCGGTCACTGGTCGCGTATTCAGTACAACCTACTTCGTAGTATCGCCATACGCCTTAGAATTGTACGGAGTACGAATACTGTACTCTCTCAATTCTTCCCGCCACCGTATGGAGAGCCCTCAAGTTGCATTCGGATTGAAGTGTCTCAATTACCAAAACTACCTAATTCCGAACACCACGAAGCCGGCGCTCTATCGTAGGCAAGTGGATTAAGCGTACACGCAGGTAGGTATACCTACCTACCGTATGTACCTACCTACCGTATGTACCTACCTACCGTATGTACCTACCTATAGAAAGCGTATGCAAAAGTACCAACGTCGCGACAAGATGAGAATAAAGGAATAAACCCTCACGTGTTTGGTCGGTTATCGAAGGTGGGGTAGGGCAGCGGTGATGTGTATGATAGGTGCATTCTGATGTCTGGACGGACCGGAACGTTGGGACGGAAGGACGAAACGGCAGCCCAGCGAGGAAACGTACTCCGTAAATGTGTTCAGTCAGAGTAAACGGTGACCAAGCGACGGCCGCAACGACCTTGACGAAACGGAAACATCGAGGACAACCCGAGCTTCCACAAGATCGATAAATGTCAGATCCATCTAATCACACGCCAGCGCTGTCGCATCGTCCCATCACCAGTCGACAGCCCAGGCACCATGAATTCGGCTTCAATATCGGCTGCCAAGCAGCAACTGCGGTCCCTAGTCAGGTCTAACCTAGCACATGTGACCCCGGAATCGATCGCCAACCAAAGTCAGCATGCTCACTCAACATAGGCTTTCCTCGCTCTCCTTCTTTCTTTACTGACTCCTCTGTATGTGCAGGCCGCAGGGCATTTGATACTCTTAGATCACTCAAGCCCTATGAGGAGGCCGAGCGCATCAGCATCTTCCTCGCCATGCCCTCGGGGGAGATACAAACGGATGCTATCGTAAGGCATGCGCTCTCAGCCGGCAAACAGGTGTACATCCCATACTTGCACAAGTCGCCCTTTGCGCCAGGTGAAGGGCCGCCCAGGGTAATGGATATGGTGCGGCTGCGAGACCTGGAAGACTACGAGTCGCTACAGCCCGACAAATGGGGCATACCCAGCATCGATTCCGCCACCGTCAACGAGAGGCAGAGGATCCTGGGCGGATCAGACCCCAACCCCGCCGATTCGTCGACCCCCCTCGACTTGATCCTTATGCCTGGTGTGGCCTTCGACATTGAACCGGAGACGGGCATCCTGAGGAGGCTCGGCCACGGGAAAGGCTTTTACGACTTTTTCATTGAACGATACCGCGCAAAGACAAAACCCGCCGGACACCCGGACACGCGTCCTGTGTTGCTCTATGGTCTAGCCCTCGCTGAACAGTTTCTGACCCCGGATTCTGGCACGCCTGTGCCCGTCGGGCCACACGACAAGTCACTGCACGGGGTTATCCTCGGAAACGGCGAGGTCAAGAGGCCGTCTGATAGATCAACTTGAAAAATCGCCCCTTCCACGCCCGTTCGAAATTCCAAACTCCAATTGTTGTGGTATCATCTTCGCATGAAGCGCGACCATTGCCGACTGCCGTCCCCCGCCGTGTGTTTATTTATGGTGCGGATTTCCCGCCCCCCCAGGAAGCTGGTGTCCATGCAGTGATGTGCTCTCGATGTATCTTCCTTCCCGGTCCAACGCCTCTACGCAACTACCCAGACAAGCCCTGGATCAGCGACACATTGTCACCCTTGAGGAGGATTTGTCCTGGAACGGTTGTCAACACAATCTCCATTATGGTCGCATCAGGGGGGCGAATCTAACCTAAGGGTCGCCGGCTCTCTTCTGGGTTCGTCTTGGTAATTTGCTTCACCTCAACAGCGTCATCGATAACAAGGTTCATGAACTCGTCAAATCCCTAGGTTCGTAAAACTGGTCAACCTTTTGTTGTTCGGACGCCAACTTTTCCCCGGATCCGAGGAACGCACCCTGATTTTCCCCTCAATCCGAATCGCCAGCTGTTCGTAGAGCCAGACCTGCACCGTCGATTGTTGCTGCAGGAGCTTGAAGATGAAGTTGATGGGGGGGAGCAACACCCTACGACCTCCGCCGCCTCCGCGCCCGGTCATGACGATTCTGTTGAGGGGCGCAAAAGTCTTCAAGTGCGAACGTTTATCAATCAAGCAGACGTATGGCCGCTTCTGTAGTCGTATATCGTTCGCCGGTCGGGGATTCGCGTCGTCACGATGTCGCTTTCGGTCGATTTTGACGGTAAGTTCGTCCAGGCTGCAAAAAATTCCCTTCGATGGTTGGTTGGTTAATCGTAGGCTAGGCTTCACCACATGCAATGCAATCGACGGATGAGAATCGGAGGCGGTAAAACCATGTTCCTCTGCGGAATTTGGACGGATACCTAAGGTAAGGTAACGTAGCTTCCCTCGTCCTCCGCAATGTACCGATACGTACCTCCCTAAGGTACAGCACAGTACCTACCGTGCGCTACAGTACGTACCAGAACGTTCGACTCCACAATGACCTTGCCCGCTTTGCCTGCCCCGCCACTGAGCAACCAGCCTGACGTCCATGTCCATCTTTTTGTTATTTTCCTTGACCAGAATAATTGACTCTGACAACCTCGTCTGATATCTATCGCGTGCGATCCCTTCTACCAACACCTCTTTTTCCCATCGGGCTGTGCCACCACTGAGTACGTCTTGAAAGCTCCATTCTACTCTGTCGAGCAGTTGCCGTCTTTGCGACATTTCCGCAAGTCTCGCGTGTTCCGTTTCTGCCCCCCCCCCCCCCCCCCCCCCCCCCCCCCCCCCCCCCCCCCCCCCCCCCCCCCCCCCCCCCCCCCTAACGACAACTTGCATGCCTGTGATACCTACCTAGGCAATAGGGCAGCCTTGATCCCGATTCGTTCCCCGGCAACTTGACTGAATCCGTCGGACTTGACTTTTCCCATTGCCCTGTTCTGGAAACTCTCACACCATAGCCAGCTACGACATCCCGCTCGGCCCCGATCTCCCCACCATGGCTGCGAACGGCGCTCCAACATCGTACACGCCGAGCCATGTCCTCCAGGCCGTGGTCGCCATGCGCGGCGCTGATCGGGAAGCGAAGAAGCAGGCACATGAGTACCTCGAGCGCTTCCAGAAATCGGTTAGACATCTACCCTTACCCCCTGTTGACACTGGTCTCCCTGGCTGCTACACTACGAATCTGCATGACTGACTTGAGCACCGGAATAGAAAGACGCATGGACACTTGTGATCGGAATCCTGCAGTCCGAGGCCGATGCGGAGGCCAAGCTGTTTGCTGCAACCACACTACGGGGGAAGGTCTGAGCCGGAAGAAAGGCACTCCCTCTAGCTCTTTTTCGGGAGAAGAATCTCATTTACTGATCAACTCGCTCGCAGCTCACATACGATTTATCGACCGACATTCCCGACTCGGAGCTTCTCGCGCTCAGGGACCAACTCCTGCTCCTACTGAAGCATTATGCGGCCGGTATGCGCCCGATCAGGGTGCAGCTCTGCGTATGCTTGGCTGTCCTGGCTATACACATGAAGGAATGGAAGGACGTCCTTCCTGTTGTCGTTTCGGCACTTCAGGGCCCCGAGAGTCATGCCGCCGTCCTTGACTTCTTGCGCGTTCTTCCCGAGGAAGTGACCGAAGGCCGCAAAATCACTCTTTCAGTACGTCGGCTGTTGTACCGGTTCTCTCGACAGAGCTTCCCAAGCCAGACACACCACCCATCACGGATCACGTTCTAATACGCAATGGCAGGAAGAAGAGCTATCTCAGAGGACCAAGGAGCTCCTCAGCGATAATGCAGACCAGGTGGTGCAGCTACTCGTTAATTACGCGCAAGCGTCGGGTGAGTGCCAGTTATCTGCTGTCAACCCCCCCCCCCCCTTCCCCCCCCTCTTCTTGACGGTGGTCGATGTGCTAACAATGATTGCTGCAGCTAAACCTGCCGACGACCCCTTGCTCATGGAATGCATTACGTCTTGGCTGCGTGAAGTGCCCGTGAGCACGATTGTGGGATCGCCACTTTGTGATGTTGTTTTCGCTGGCGTAATTGGTGACTCGGCATTCAGGGAGGCCGCCGAGACGGTGTGCACGATTCTGAAAGAAACCAGGGAGGTGGATGATAATCAGGACATCATTCAGGTTCTCTTGCCAAGGATTCTGCGACTCCGATCCGGACTCGACAAGGTTATCGCCGAAGAAGACACAGAAGCCTACCAAGCACTAACCAAGGTTTTTGCCTCGGCGGCCGAGGCCTGGGTGGTGGCAGTTGTACGGGAGCCCGGCCACTTTGGGCCCCTCGTCGACGTGGTTCTCGAGTGCGCGATGCGGGATGAGAATCGCGACGTGATCGAACACACCTTCGACTTCTGGTATGAGCTCAAGCAGTACCTCGTCATCGAGAGGTACATGGAGGCGAGGGTCCAGTTCGTGGACGTCTACTCGAGGCTGGTGAATGCTCTATTCAAGCACCTTCAGTATCCGAAGAGCTCCTCGGGCGACGAAAACGATCTTTTCGAGGGTGACCGCGAAGCAGAGGAGAGGTTCCGAGAGTTCAGACACCGGATGGGTGACACGCTCAAGGACGCCTGCGCCGTCATGGGCGTCACAGACTGCCTAAGCAAGGTCCTGGCGACAATCAACAAGTGGTCGGCGGAGAGGAGTACGGCCACGAGCCACCCAGGGGTCGTGCCGCATTGGCAGGAGCTCGAGGCCCCCCTGTTCGCCATGAGAGCCATGGGTCAGATGGTGCCCCCGGACGAGAGCATCGTCTTGCCGCAGCTGATGCCCCTGCTTGTGGCCATACCGAATCACGAGAAGCTCCGGTTCGCCACCATCATGGTCCTGGGCCGGTACACCGAATGGACGGCAGCTCACCGCGAGTACCTCGAGCCGCAGTTCAACTACATCGTCTCGGCCTTCCAGACTGACTCTAAGGAAGTTATCCGCGCGGCGGCCATGGCCATCAAGTATTTCTGCACCGACTGCAAGGAGCTCCTGAGCGGTCAGGTCTTGCAGTTGCAAACCTTTTACGACCAGATCCTCGATAAGCTCCCGGACCTGAGTCAGGAGGAGATTACCGAGGGCGTGGCGAGTGTCGTGGCGGCTCAGCCCCCAACCGAACTTTACAAGCTCCTCAAGCTTTACTGCGATCCCCTCGTGCAGAGGCTAATGAATAAGGCCAACAATGCCTCGGACGATGACGGCAAAGTGGCTGTCGCTGGTAAGTCGATGGGTCTTCTTTCGAGATGACGAAGTGATGAGAGTTTCTTTGTGTTTTATCTTTCTGCTAACGAACGGGACTTGTTCAGATCATGTCCAATTGATCACAATATTCGTCCAGACAGTCAAACCGTACTCGGCGCCTGGCACGGAGAACCCGGCTGTGAAGTACTGGCAAGAAGTGTTCCCGGTGCTCGCCACGATTGTGGAGAACTTCCTCGACTTTGTGCCCATCTGCGAGCGCATCTGCCGTTGTTGGCGGTACATGATCATCTCCAACAGGACAGCCATGACACCTCTCCTCCCCGAGCTTGCCAACAAGCTGGCGAGCGGGTTTGCGGCATCGAGGCAAGGCGCGTTTCTCTGGGTCACGGCGGCGATTCTGAGGGAGTTCTCGGAAGACCGCGAGCACGTGGACCAGTCCATCACGCAGAGCATATATGCCTTCTTCGAAGCGCAGGCGACGACGTTCTTGCGGGTCCTGAACGAAATCCAGCCAAGCGAGCTGCCGGATGTCATCGAGGACTTCTTCCGCCTCCTCATCGACGCTCTGCTTTACTACCCGCACCGGCTCGTGCCGTCGGAGCTTCTGGGGCCCATATTCGAGGCGTCCATCTACGCGCTGACGCTCGAGCAACGGGACCCCTTGTCGGCCACGCTCCACTTCCTCCGGGACCTCCTCACGTACGGGGGGGATAACCCGGCGACGTCAGACGCGCTGCCGGCGGACGTGGCGGCGCAGATCCGGACGATCATCAGGGCGCTGCTCGCCAGCCACGGCGAGAAGCTGGTGAAACAGGTCATGGCCGGCATGATGATCACGTTCCCCCGGGACTGCTTTGCGGACGGTAGTGGCGTGCTGCTGGCGATGTTCGAGCTGCTCCCGACGGAGACGACGGCGTGGGTGGAGCGGACGCTGCAGCTCCTCCCGCAGGGCACGGTCAGCCCGGCGGAGGCGAACCGGCTGATGACGAAAATTAAGGAGCGCATCGGGGCCGACCCCGGCAGCATGCGGCAGGTGAGGGCGCTGCTCCAGGACTTTACGAACACGTATCGACGACGGTATGTGGCTCCTCGTGACGGGCTTGGTCAGCTCGAGGCGGACCGCTTCCGCTTCAACCGCTAAAGGGGTCTACGGTACATGACATAACGGGTTGGGCGGCGATGAGTTGCTTGGTGAGAGACATAATCAAAAGAGAAAAGGAAGAAGAAGGGAGGGCGGGTAATGGCAGTCAGGGGTAGTAATATGAAACGCCGCAGCTGCGATGGGATGTGGTTGGGGGGTGTGGTGCGGGCGGGAGGTTCGGCGCCATTTAGAGGTAGTTCGAAGGCAAGTTAGGAGGTTGGCGGAATCGAGGGGGGTGTTTGACTTGATCAGACGTGACGAGATGTCTGAGATGTCGGCGATCCCGGTCCCAGGAGCTAGCCCAGAGGGAGTCTAGAGGGGAGAATATTATCGTGAACAAAAGCTTATCCGGGTGGATGGGAGGAGGGGTGCAGTAGATGGGGACAAATGATGAACCTGAGATAGGAATCGAGTTTGAAAAAGTACCTAAGACGAATGGGCTTCAAGTGAGATACGAAGTGAGAGGACGTAAGGCACATCTATAGTAATTATTTCCAAGTCTGCCTTGCAGCTAGAAGTGAGACGGGTGGTGGTGGCGGATAAATAGTGGGAGAGGGATCGAGCACAGTGCATAAACAACAGCTTAAAATAGGTAATGGCACTGTCTTACTTTCGGCCCGTCACAAAAGGCATTTCATCTCCACATTTCACATGACCTCGCGGTATTACTATACCGAATCTACCAACACGGGTTGCACCTTCCCAGCCAACGCGACGACGCCCAACGTAGACCGATTGGAACCAAATCTCAGGGCCAACACTTTTTTTTCTTTTTCTCTTTTTCCGTTCCTCCTTTTTTCCCACTTCTTTTATTGCGTCTTGCCTACAAAAAGGCGCCAAAAATCAGACAATCACAACTGATCCCCGTATTTTATTCTCCCCCTTTTTATAATGCTTCCAGCAGTATTCCACCCTTGCATTCACCCGACCTCTAATTCACTTGGCGGTCTAGGGTTGTGTTGATTTCGACCACCTTTCAACATCTCGTCTTGTCTGGATGCCGGCTCCTGTCCGGCCACTCACTGTCCCTTCAGCACCTCGCCAGGCGACCCCAGTACCGACACGCACAATGCCTCCCAACAACAACAACAACTTTGGAAGATTGGCACAATATGTCCGTGGCTCGTCCGAACCCGAACCAAACGCCTTGCAACAAAACAACAACCCTAAAACCGTTGCCCGTCAGCAGAGGGAGAGGGACGACATCCCCCCAACCGCAACCGCAACGACAACGACATACTATCCCCCAGCATCTAACCCCAACACTCGCCTGTCTATAGCCGAAGCGGCCAAGATTCCCCTCCCCAAGCCGTCGCCTCAGCGCGGGCCAGGACCAGGCTTGCACCACCTGCGGCAACCTAGCAATGCAAGCATGCCTCCGCTCGGGTCGCCTCCCTCCCTGGCTCTTCCCAACCCTCAGCATGCACCATCAACCGCGCGTCGACGGCGCAGCAACTCGGTGGAGAAAGAGCCTGGCATCTGGTCTCCCTCCTTACCTTCCAACTTGGCAACGCCTTTCGACTCGCCAAAATCAAACGCCGAACCGCGGATTGATAGGCAGTACTCGACCCGACACGGGCACGGACACGGACACGGACACGGACACGCAAATATCCCTCCAACAATGCACGCCGCTGGGGATGTCTATCGCGATAGCACGACCCCTCCCCCGCTTGCTCGGGGCATCGATGATCCCTTGGATGTGGTCGAACCCCGATACGGACACAGCACTACCACGTACCAAGGTCTACACAATACTAGGCAGACCGGTTCGACATGGCAACAAAACGGGACTTTTCCCAATGAGGCCATTGGGTTCTTGTCTTCGCCTAAGAGGCACCCAGTCAAACTTGCGATCCACGACGCAGGCCTTAGGAGGCCATATGTCGTCGGGAACGAAGAAACTACTGGGATGCAAGTGAACGGCCGGCCATCATCGCCCACGCTCAACCGATTCTCGCGCGGCTTCACGACGTACGAGGAGCAGCCGAGAGAGCCCCAACACACCGCCATCGTCCGCCGCCGCGACGCACTGGAAGGCGACCTCCGCAGCGACTATCCAGTGAGCGACATGGGCGACATGGGCGAGAATGACGACGACCACGACGAGGACGACCGGGGCACGCCTCGCGCCAAGACCAAGACAGAAAGGACGACCCGGGGGGCAGACGGCTTTCTCGACAGCTCTCCGCGGTTGCGCACGGGGAGCCTGAGCCTGGCCGACAAAATTGCCCAGAGCATCAAGAAGCGGACGCGCGACAGTTGCGACTACGAGGACCAGGCGCTCATGCAGATGAGCTACTCCGAACTGAAAACCCAGCCCTTTGACCTTCATCCGGTGCAAGTCGCTCCCGGCGGAGCCGCCGCCAACGGCGTCTCGGTCGGCGAGAGCCTCCCCGAGAAGCTGGCGCACTTCCGAAGCAGGGGCGGCGAGGAACAGAGGCAGTTCTTCACGCAGATGAGCTTGCAGGACTGGGAGCGCTCGGGCGACTGGTTCCTGGAGCAGTTCGGCGTCGTGGCGCAGAAACTCAAGGAGGCTCGGCAAGGGAAGCGGGCCACGGTGCAGTCGTTTGAGGACGAGATCGCCCGTCGCGAGGAGTCGGTCCGTCTGCGGACTGAGGATATCAATAAGAGGCTCGGCGAGATCAAGCATAAAGGTGAAGACATGCTCGCCGGGAAGGGAATTTGAACAAAAGAAGTTTGGAACAAGATCATACTCAGTGTTCTTCTGCGCAGTTCGACACGATTTGATATGGCTTTACGATGGTCATGACTGACGGGACGGCGTCTGGTATCTATCATTGATACATGGGGTTTTTATTATTATTCTTCTTTTTGTCTTCTTTCTTATGACACAAAACTAGAGCAATGGCGACGATATGATGTTGCTACAGAGGATTCCCTCGTTTCTTCCAAGCAGATGATTCGCCGAGCATCTACCCACTTTGTAGGCTCTATTGGACATGGCTCTGCCTCACCTTCCTATCCTTCCCCACAACAATACGCAGCTGGCGTCCAGGGCGGTCAGGGAAAACGCCCTTGCGGAGGTTGTCGGCATAGAGCTCATAAGCAGGGTAGTACCCGTCGACAAAGCGAACGACCTGCTCATCGGACATGCCGGCACCGCGCTCCGCGCGCAAGGCGGCCTCCTGCTCGCGCCGCCAGTCGTAGACATACCGCGCGTCCTCCGCGTCCAGATGAACAAAGGCATCCAGGAGATCCGTCAGGTCGTCGTAGGCGCGCAGGCGATCATTCACGAAGAGGAGGTCCGGCAGCGCATGGGAAGCAAGGGTGCGACTGGGCCGCGCCCGGCGTGCTTCCACGGCGGCCGCGTCGGGGAGGGCACGGAAACCGACGCACCAGCCTTCGAAAATGACGACGTGGACGAAGGGGGGGTTGACTGGGCGCCAGGACGCGGACGGGGCGCGGTCGCCCTGGCCCGCGAAGGCGGCTTTGTCGTAGGAGGGGACGCGGGCGGGGCGGCGGGCGAGGAGGTCGTGGAAGAGGCGGCGGGCTAAGGGCAGGTCGTGGGTCCCCGGCTGGCCGCGGTGCTGGAGGAGGGGGTTCTCCGGGTGGGCGGCGGCGAGGGCGAGTTGGTCTGCGTGGCGGAGGTAGAGGTCGTCGATGCTCAGAACCAGGGTCGGGTGGCCTTGGGAGTCGAGGGCGGTGGCGAGGGCGCGGACGAGGGTGGTTTTGCCTATGCCCTGGACGCCGTTGAGGCCGACGAGGAAGGGGCGGTTGCGGTGTGGGGAGGTGAGGTGGGCTTGGAGGTGGGTGAGGATGAAGGGGATGCAGAGGGGGGATTTGTCGTCTATGATGGGGGGCGGGTTGGTTGGGGTTGAGGGAGACATTGTGGCCTTTTGTTGTTGCGATGGTGATGTTGTGTTGTGTTACGGGAGCTTATTCATGGGGCATGAACCGGTCAACGGCTGGCTGGCTGGGCCGGAATCGGGAGACGAAAGTAGACGGAGCCACCGGGGGAGTACCGCATGTTCCGGGCTCCGTCCGGATAGGGGGACAGAGCGACAGAGCGACAGAGCGAGGAAATACCTAAGGTACCTACTGCATCTCCGTACCCACGGTGGCTTGGCTAAAGAACCGTTTGCCGTTTGCGGGGGTGAAATGCGGGGTTCAAGTTTGCGGAGTTCCGTCCGTTGTCGGTCAAGCCAGCAGCACATGTGGGGTACCTAAGGTATCCTATCGCCTTATCGGTACTACCACATATGGTCGCGCCCGAGGATCGGATAGATTGGTACGGTCTCAGGTGCTTCTCCTACCTAGGTACCTAAGGTACGAAGTATTAATTAGTAAGGTACGTAGCAATCCGTGAATGGCCTTGGATGGCCAAAATTTGCCGGATCAAAACTTCTTTCCAATGTGTTTTCTTCCGCTAAACCCAACGATTTTATGTTCCATCTCTGCGGAGTAAAAGACCAGACAAGGTACTTTGGTTCCCACTAAGGTACAGGTACCTTAGTTCGTCGACCTCGAATGAAAATGCTGCAACTGGATTTCATAAGGTACTACCATTGATGGAAATCATGGGACTGTACCTTAATGTATTTCGTCCTTTGTAGAAAGCACGTCACATGATGAAGATGTCCAATTTCCAGATTGGGTGAGCTTCACAGTACCGCTCACATGACGTAATCCCGACTCGCACTCCCGGGTGGGGCAGGCATGTGAAATGCCAAGAACGTCCCCCCCAAAGCTCGTGCAGGGGGAGTGGGTGGAGAGCTCGGGTTCGGCTCAAGTGAGCGGGAAAGCTGCCTCGGCTTCCATTCGTCGTGGTCGTCGTGGTCGTCGTAGTCGTGTCCAGTTTCGTCCCCCAGGTCTCTTCCCCCATAGTCTGCTTTTAACCTGTTCACCATCAATCTCCCACATTCAAACATCCATCCTCAAATGCTAAGGCTCTTGCGCCGAACTTGTCCGATTGCACACTAGCCCGAGGTCGACGTGCATTTCTATCTAAAACCTTCAATTACCGACGACTTTTTGACTTGTCCACCTACCTCACGACTTTCTCTCCCACTCCCACTCTCTCCCTCTCTCTCTCACACACACTCCATCAGATACCCCCCGGCTCCATTTCTCACCTCTTTTTCCTCTGGTGGTATTTGGTCTTCTCTCTCTTCTCTCTCGTACATCTCTCTCGTCTTTCTCCCAATAACGGGCAGTCTCGCGCAGTCCGTCAGAAACCATGGCTGAACAGCTGCGATTCGACGGCCAGGTGGTTGTCGTCACCGGTGCCGGAGGTGGCCTCGGCAAGGCTTATGCTCTCTTCTTCGCGTCCCGTGGCGCCAGCGTCGTCGTCAATGACCTCGGTGTCTCCTTCAAGGGCGAGGGCGGCTCATCGAAGGTAAGAGATCCAACCTGACAAGAACCACCTCCGGTGCACTCCGCAATCCATTCCACGACGAAACAGAAAAACTAATTCTTTCTTTTTTTCTTCTACTTCTACAGGCCGCCGACGTCGTCGTCAATGAAATCAAGGCTGCCGGCGGAAAGGCCGTTGCCAACTACGATTCCGTAGAAGATGGCGACAAGATCATCTACACGGCCATCCAGGCCTTTGGCCGCATCGACATCCTCATCAATAACGCCGGTATCCTCCGCGACGTCAGCTTCAAGAACATGAAGGACCAGGACTGGGACCTCATCAACAAGGTCCACGTCAGGGGCACCTACAAGTGCACTCGTGCCGCCTGGCCGCATTTCAGGAAACAAAAGTTTGGTCGCGTCATCAACACCGCTTCGGCTGCTGGTCTCTTTGGTAGCTTCGGTCAGACCAACTACTCGGGTAAGCGGGCTTTAGATAGATCTCCTTGGCGCCTACTACTGCCTCTGCCTTTTGTCCCGTGGATTCTCTTTTCATACCAGGTACATGGATGCTGATCATCAATCTTCCTATTTAGCCGCGAAACTCGCCATGGTCGGCTTCACCGAAACCCTAGCGAAGGAGGGCGCCAAGTACAACATCCTCTGCAACGTCATTGCTCCTATTGGTAAGTCCCAAAGTCCTTTGCTACCTACCGTCCCTGTCGCCCGGGCCCTCCGCTGATTTTTCTCTTTTCTTTCTTCTTCTATAGCCGCCAGCCGCATGACCGAGACGGTTATGCCTCCCGAGGTCCTCAACAACCTCAGGCCCGAGTGGGTCGTTCCCCTTGTCGCTGTCCTCGCCCACAAGAACAACACGGACGAGTCTGGCTCCATCTTCGAGGTCGGCGGCGGCCACGTTGCCAAGCTGCGTTGGGAGCGCTCCAGCGGCCTTCTCCTTAAGGCCGATGAGACCTACACCCCCGGTGCCATCATCAAGAAGTGGGATCGCGTGACCGACTTCTCCGATCCCCAGTACCCCTCGGGACCCAACGACTTCCTGACATTGCTCGAGGAGTCCATGAAGATGGGCCCCAATGACCCCGGCGAGAAGCTCGACTTCACCGGTCGTGTCGCTCTCGTCACTGGTGGTGGAGCTGGGTAAGTATTCCTGGATGGAGTTGCTGTGTATTGCATCTGGCTGACGGCTTTTTTTTTTTCCGCCAACCCCTACAGCATTGGAAGGGCTTACTGCCTGGCTTTCGCCAAGCACGGTGCCTCGATCGTCGTCAACGACCTTGCCAATCCCGACGATGTTGTCAACGAGATCAAGAAGATGGGCGGCAAGGCTGTGGGCGTCAAGGCCTCGGCCGAGGACGGTGATGCCGTTGTGAAGGCCGCTATTGATGCCTTCGGTCGCATCGATATCGTGATCAACAATGCCGGCATTCTCCGCGACAAGGCCTTTAACAACATGGACGATAGCCTGTGGGATCCCGTCATGAACGTTCACCTTCGCGGCACCTACAAGGTTACCAAGGCCGCTTGGCCTTACTTCCTGAAGCAGAAGTACGGCCGTGTTGTGAACACCACTTCGACCAGTGGTATCTATGGCAACTTCGGACAGGCCAACTACGCCGCCGCGGTTAGTCCCATACATCCCTTCCATGTCCCCCTCCATGTCCCCCTCCCGACCCCGACTGACAAATGTCATATAGAAATGCGGTATCCTAGGGCTCTCTCGCTCTCTGGCTCTCGAGGGCGCCAAGTACAACATCTATGTCAACACCATCGCTCCCAACGCAGGCACAGCCATGACCCGGACCATCATGCCCGAGGAAATGGTCCAGGCTTTCAAGCCCGAGTACATTGCGCCTATTGTTCTCGCTCTGTGCAGTGATCAGGTGCCCAAGAAGCCCACTGGCGGTCTCTACGAGGTGGGCAGCGCCTGGGTCGGTCAGACCAGGTGGCAGAGGACTGGTGGCCACGGCTTCCCCGTCGATGTGCCGTTGACCCCCGAGGAGGTGCTCAAGTACTGGGGAAAGATCCGGGACTTCGAGGACGGCCGGGCCGATCATCCCGAGACGCCGCAGGACGGTCTCAAGAAGGTCATGGCGAACATGGAGAACAGGAGCCAGAAGCAGGTATGAGCACGTTATCTTGTTCTTCTTTTTTTGTTGTTACAGAATGAACCATGCATGTATCAAATAAGTTAGACGGATGTAAGCGGAATCGCAAATGAAGCACAATTTAGTTAACCCGCTTGTCTTTTTGCAAATGCATCTGTAGACTCAAGCATCCTCTTCGGACCACGACGGTGCGAACTACCTCGCCGCCATCGACGCTGCCATCAAGGCGGAACCCAAGCCGACCGAGTTCGTCTACACGGACCGTGATGTGATGCTCTACAACCTAGGTATAGGCGCGAAGCGCACCGAGCTGAAATACGTCTTCGAGGGCGCCGACGACTTCCAGGTGATCCCCACCTGGGGCGTCATCCCTCCTTTCAACGTCGAGACCCCTTACAACTACGACGACATCCTTCCCAACTTCTCCCCCATGATGCTCCTCCACGGGGAGCAGTACCTCGAGATCAAGAAATACCCCATCCCCACCGAGGCCAAGCTCGTGTCGCGCGCCCGCCTGCTCGAGGTCGTCGACAAGGGCAACGCCGCCATCGCCAAGAACGGGGTCACCACCGTCATTGCCGACACGGGTGAGGAGGTCTTCTACAACGAGGTGACCGTCTTCCTGCGCGGCTGCGGCGGATTCGGCGGCCAGAGCAAGCCCCGTGATCGCGGCGCCAGCACGGCGCCGAACAAGCCGCCTTCGCGCCAGCCGGACGTTGTTGTTGAGGAGCGGACTAGCGAGGAACAGGCCGCCCTGTACCGACTGAGCGGTGATTTCAAGTGAGTAGAGAGGCCCCTTGTTCTTTTCTTTTCTTTTCTTTTTTTCTTTTTGTACTTCTATTTCTCACCCACTTCTCTCATCCAACGATTGCTAATTTTCATCTTCTTTCCCCCGTCCAGCCCCCTCCACATCGACCCCTCTTTCGCCAAGATGGGCGGCTTCAAGGCACCCATCCTCCACGGCCTGTGCACATTCGGCTTCGCCGGTAAGGCCGTCTACGAGCGCTTCGGTGCGTTCCGGAACATCAAGGTCCGCTTCGCCGGCACCGTCATCCCGGGACAGACGCTCGTGACGGAGATGTGGCGCGAGGGCAACAAGGTCATCTTCCAGATCAAGGTGAAGGAAACGGGCAAGCTTGCCATTGGCGGTGCGGCGGCAGAGCTGGTTGAGGCGAACAAGGGGAAGATCTGAGGCTCTCCTCAAGGCCTGCTGCAGTCTTGCTTGCGACTCGGGGAGCGTGTTATGTACCAAGATAGTGGTCGGATTTTTTTGCCAGTTTGTTTTGGAATCGTGTACGATGTACGATATACGATATACCATGCCCTGGTTTATTACGAGTTGAATGGTTCCCGAATCATGCGTTTCTTGTGTATGAAGGCTTGAGAAATTAAAGTCTAGAATTACACTAATAATACGTGAATGGATATATCCAAACGTGAGTGCTTCGGCGAAAGCAATGCCGTCCAGTTGCTTGTCCTTCCTGTTTCGCTGTTTCCCCTATCCGAGTTGTCTCGCTTGGTCCCTTGACCTTGGAAAAGAAAAAAAAAAGAAAAAAAGGAAAAACAAAAAGGAGTGGGATGTGATATATGGTTAGCCCACCTCTGATCCCTTCAAGACCCTTTCATCTTTTGATGGGTTTGTTTGCCCACGTTGTCGACTCGAGAACGCCATACGTCCATTACCAGCCGAACGAGAAAAGAAACTCCCAATAAACAAGACAAAAAGAAAGAAAGAAAGAAAGAAACAAAGAAAGAAACAGAGGCGCATGTCGTGTTTAGATCACCAACCCAAAATCTTCCTCTCTACTCCCCCCCTCTCTCTCTCCTCCTCTCTCGCCACATACCCTATCCCGTGGCTGGCTACCCGAACAGGCTCCCGACAGCCCAATCACAAAACTCAGCAAGAGTCGGCGGCCGGCGCTGGCGGAGCAGTCCCTCCAACTTCACCTCGTCCCTCCCGGCAGCGACGAAGCCCGTCTCAAGAAAATCCCTCTCGGCACGCCCGACGTCGCGCCGTTCCGCCTCACGCCACTTCCGCTCCGCCTCCTCCTTCGCAGCCTGCAGGACGGCATCCGTGTCCTCGGATTCCCAGAGGTTACACCGGTCGCAGTGTGCGCAAGGCGACGGGTCGCCGTCCGGGCGAAAGTGGTCGCAGAAATGACGGTAGCCTTCGCCGCCGTCCGGGCCGGAGCCGATGTCCTTGCGGCAGACGTAGCACATCTTGTAGCCGCAGGGGCAGGTGAGCTTGTTGCAGCCGGCGTTCTTGACGAAGGAGGTGCCGCAGCGCGGGCAGACGCGCTTGACGGCCATGCTCATGGCCTGCTCGATCTGCGTGCGCAGGGCGACGAGGGAGGACTCGTGGCAGACGTGGATGTCGGTCCAGGACTTGCCGCACGAGAGGCAGGACGCGCGGCGGCAGGTCGGGGATTGGCAGGTGAACTTGAGGCCGCGGCGGCGGCGGCGGTGGCGCGTCAGGGCGGCGGACCATTCCTCTCGGAGCTGGTCGCCCGGGCTTTGCTTGGAGCTAACGAGGAGGGCGGTGAGGACGGTGAGGACGATGAGGGGGAGGAAGAACGGGATGAAGACGACGCAGACGACGAGGAGGAGCAGGTTGAGGATGCCGTCGGGGCGGAGGCGGAGGGGGGATTCGCCCCGCGGGACGTAGAGGTCGTCGACTTCGGCGTAGTCGCAAAAGGGGCAGCGGACGAGCGGCAGGTCGGAGGCGAGCAGGCTGTGCTGGGCCAGGCGCTGGTCGAGTTTGTGGAGGATCTCGGCGCCTTTCTTCTCCTCGAGCATGGCACGGTGCATGTGGTACGAGGGGATGCGGCCGCCGCAGCCGCCGCCGTCGACGGCCATGCACTTGAGGGTGCCGGACTCCATGTCGATGGTGCTCTGCCAGCCCTGACCGAAGACGGCCTCGGCGATGGAGTGCTGCACGCAGCGGAAGCAGATCATGTGGCCGTCGGCATCGCACTGGGCGAACTCTTCAAAGGCAGACTCGGTGAAGCAGCAGCAGCATTCGTGCATGGCGTCCATGTCTTCGGCCTCTTCGTTGTTGAGCAAGACGGCCAGTCCGCGGTCCTTCTCGACCTGGAGGCGACGAGCACGCTGCTTAAGCGGGCGTATCAGTGCTTCGTGAAGCTCTCGGTCGAGTTCGGGGCTCCCGGTGGCTTTCAAGGTAGGCTTGATGGAGCCATGGCCGGTGGACTTCCATACGATGAGCGGGTGGTTCTCGGTTTCTCCAGCGGCGGCGACAACGGGTTTCCGGCGCGAGAAGAGGGAGGAAAAGGTGAAGCGCCACGACTTGGAGGACAGCTCCACCAGGGTCTTCCGGGCGTCGAGGTAGTTGTAGTTGCATTCGGCGAGGACGGCGTGGAGGGTCGAGCGGGATAGTCCGCGGAACTCGTGCTTGGCCAGGGCTTTGACGGCCGTCTTGTACTCTTCGCTCTTGAAGGTCTCCTTCGGGTGTACGGCTAATACCGGGGCGGCGTCGGGCGTGGCGGCGGAGGTGGCGGCGCCTTCAACGACCCGCCAGCGTCCCTTGACCCATTGTACACGGTTTTTTAACAGGGCGTCGGCGACGACAGCCAAACGGGATTCTCCATCGAACTTGGTGAGCATCTCGCGGAAGACCTCGATCTGCACGTCAGGGAATACGGCGGCCAGGGCTTCTAGGCAGTTGTTGAGCTCACGGAGGTCGGGACATTCGGGGGGCGGGGCCTGCAACTGAAGGTCGTCATGGATATACTCCAGATCGGGGTCGGATGTAGTGGCAGAAGTAGTAGTAAGAGGAGGAGGCGGAGGAGTATGGCTGGCAGCTGACGAAGAGACGGAGGCAGAGCTAGACGGCGTGCGGGAGGACGCCGGTTTGGGCCGACTTTCGCGCCGTTGGTCAGTAGAAGACGAGCCGAGGAGAAATGAGAGCCCCATGGTGGCTGGCGGTCATGGTCGTTGGACAGCCCGGCCCGTTCGCGGGGAGGGGTCTTCAAGGCAGAATTGGGGGGTTTGTCAAGCTGATTACATTTGGCATTCTTGGGTGATGATAATGCGAGCCAGATGGGTGGATAAACCACCTGATAAGGAAGTTTTGGAAGCCCTAGAATGATGAATGATGAATGATGATGAGTGATGATCGATATCCGCAGAGAGAGAGGCTCAAAGGCAAGAGTTATGTAAAGTTGCACTCGGTCTGCGAATCGTGAAGTTGGGTAAGGTATTATAGTCAGGTACGTACTGGGACGAGAAAATACAACAAAAGCCGAGAAGAAGTACACGCGTCATACAGAGTGGGGATGGGATGTAGACGGAGTACCTATGGGTACGAAGGTACGTACGTAGCTTGGGACGTGATGCTCGCTTATGCTTAATAAGCACTGCAGCTGTCTTGTCGATATTCAACTTAAAAAGAACTTGGGCCAAAGCTTATTCCCTGTCTCGCACTCGTGGAAGGAGAAAATAGGAAGATCTCAGGTACTGTAGTTTCTGTATATGTTGTGTAACTTAGGTACCTATGCTATGGTCTATCTACTTCATACATTTAGGTGCTCTTCCTGTGCAAAACACCAGCACCGGCCTAAGACAAGTTCAACCGGGTGTTTACAGTCAGCGCTGACACGGGAGTGATAAAGCCCGGACGAGCAGTATTTAAATCAACTCACCTGGTGGCTGGGAAAGATGAGCGTGTCCGCGATAACGACGTTCTGTCTGCGAGATGCCGCGAAGACGATGACCTCGGCAATGTCGTCCGGCGTCAGGGGTTCGCATCCACTACGCCATCGACTTCATGTCAGCAAGTTGCAACGGGTCGAACACCGCCTACAAATTTCAAACCTGAAGTGGATTCCTCCCAAACTTACGCATAGACAGCATCGGCCTTGGACTTGTCGCCGTAGAACCGGACAACAGAGAATTCCTATCCACCCCCTCGGGTCAGTTCTTTCCTCTTCCTCTCTCTTCTCGTTCTCTCCTCTCGTTTTCTCTCCTGGGTAGGTTGAAAAGAACCTACCGTCTCGACTTGACCAGGGTCAATCTCAATGACGCGGATGCGCGTCGCGATGAGCTCTTTCCTCAAGCTCTCGCTGAAGCTGCGCACCGCCGCCTTGGTCGCGCAGTAGATGGACCCTCCTGCGTATGGATCTCGCCCGGCAATCGACCCGACGTTGATAATGTCGCCAGCACCACCTTCAGGCCTCTGCTTGAAGATGGCCAGGACGGCCTGCGTCATGTTGATGACACCGGTCACGTTGGTTTGGAACATAACGTCCATGTCCTCTTCCGCGATATTGGGCGCTTGCGCGACACCCTTCACGAGGCCCCTAGATTTATTTTTGGCATTGCGTCAGCTGGCGGGCGACGCAATTAGGAGACACATTGTTGCAAAGTAGAGCATAGTTATATATATATATATATATATATATATACGTACGCATTGTTGACGAGCACATCAATGTCCCGAAACTCTTCCGGCAGCCCGGAAACGAAACCCCGCACGGCCTCGGGGTTGCTGACGTCCAGCTGGACGGGCAGGACCTTGACGCCGTCGCCGACCTCCTTGGTGATGTCGGCTGCGATCTGGCGGAGGGCGTCGACGCGACGGGCCGTCAGGACGAGCTTGAGGTTCTGGGGCGCCGTGCGGGCGAATTCGAACGCCGTGCTGCGACCGATGCCGCTCGACGCGCCCGTGATGACGATGGTCTTGCCTTCTAGGCGCTTCGATGCGGCGGCGGCGGAGGAGGCCATGGTTCGGATGCGGTGCCAGCGATGAATGAGGGGAGCGAGTGGCGATGCTACTGCTGCTGCCGGGACCGTGGGGAATCGGGATCCGGCGACGTGCACTTGGGGGAGGCAGGTGATTCTGGTGTTGACAATTGAGGCGAAGGTCCTGAAGGCACCGGTGTAGTGATTGTGCATGAGTACAGCTCGGGTGGAAGGGATGGGAGGATAGGGTGGGTGGTGGATAATTATGCAAAGAAAGGAAGTACAATCACAAGGGTGTCCTATGACTCCTATCGTATCTCCTATTTTCGTAAGGTATCGTGTATCGTCAACCAATGACGTGAGAATTCCCTGGCCGGTTCGGACTTGTGTTTGTCCTTGGGGCCTCGATACAAGAAGGAGAAAAGGCTGTCGTCGGCTTCACTGAATGACGATGAACCGAGAAGACCCACTTGAGCGCGGGGTCCGGTGCCCAGAAATCCCGACACCGGCCGATAGATAGCGGGCGCGGGGTCAACTACCTTGAGGTACTAGCTCCTGATTGTGCTACTTCTCCCCCTATCTCTTACTTCTCATGACTGCGCACGCCATAAACGACTCTTTGACGCAATGTCAACTTTTCCATGTTAATCGTCTTGATGACCCTGACGACAGGCAATATAAAGACAAATGAATGAGGTGAGATGGTCGACATGAAGCTACTGGGACACTTTTTGGTTTTGACTTTCCGTCGGTCGTCGTCCACTGTCAAAACTTGCATCTATCCGGACTTTGCTTATCTAATAAATAGAAAATGGAATTACCCAGTTAAAAGGTACGGTATAGGGATATTCAAATATACCTATGAGTGAAATAACGAAAGATTACCTCATCACGCCCAGACGTCAGCTCTTTGGTTTGTCCCAACTCCATGCTCACTCATCCATTGCAAGCTTCACGAACTTCATGGTCTTTAAACCCTCTGGCTACGAAAACAGAACTCCGAAATAACACATAGCGAGACAAACGTCCTATACTTCTTCAAATTTGAGCGTGGAGTTGAGCATCCATCCCCTGGGAACATGACGGAGGTCATCACCCAGACCCCGCCCATCCTCACCGGGGCCCCATCCGATAAGGAGCGCAAGTACGACCGTCAGTTAAGACTATGGGCGGCCAGCGGCCAAGCAGCTTTGGAATCTTCGCATATTCTTCTTGTCAACTCTGGCACAGGCACCGTTGGCATCGAGACCCTGAAGAACCTCGTGTTACCAGGTGTGTTATAACTTATTGCTACCCCTTGCCTGTCTTGTTTGTTCATCCGTTTGCCAGTAGTCCTTGTCCCCGACGTTGGTAGATATGAAGCTAACGATCTATCTCTCTCTCTCTCTCCATATCCCAGGCATTGGAAAATTTACCATTGCCGATGATGCCATCGTGCGTGACTCCGACTTGGGTGTCAACTTCTTCCTCGATGAGGATGGCCTTGGCAAGTCAAGGGCACAACACTGTACGGAACTGCTAGTTGAACTGAACCCAGAAGTTCAAGGCGACTGGTTTCCAAAGAATGGGGTAAGGAGATAGGCAAGCAAAGGAAGCCACCTCTTCATCACCTCTTCCAGGACATCGTGCTTTCCGATGGAACTGACACCATGACTCCAGGAACCCTTAAGCCTCCCAGACGTCCTGGGAAACGAAGGGCCCTATACCGCGGTCCTTTATGCGCTACCCGTTCATCCCAGATGTGAATTATTACTCCAAGAATACTGCAACCAGAATAAGACACCCCTCATCGCCGTTCACTCGACCGGTTTCTACGCCGACTTCAAAATCACCTTCCCCGGCCCCTTCCCTGTTGTGGAGACGCATCCAGACGTCACTGCCACGACCGATCTGAGGCTCCTCTCTCCTTGGGACGAGCTCATCGACTTTGCGAGAGGCATGACCAAGGACATCGACAGCCTCGACAACCACGAGCACGGCCATCTCCCGTTCGTCGTCATTCTGCTCCACTACCTCGATGTCTGGAAGGCAACTCACAACAGCGCGTACCCCTCGACTTATGCAGAGAAGGTTGCCTTCAGGAAGATGGTCTCTGAGGCCGCAAGAACTGACAATCCAGAGGGTGGTGAGGAGAACTTCGATGAGGCCGTGGCAGCCGTGCTCAAGACTGTTTCTCCCCCGTCCTTGCCAGGAGATGTCAAGGAAGTGTTCGCATATGAGCACGACAGCCCAGTATGTACTATGCTTTTGGAGTGCAAAACCAAGAAGACGAAAAATGGTTGAGTTTTTCGGACAAAGGGAGCTAACGTTTGAGATGTTGGTAGAACGAGATCAGGTCCAGCTTCTGGATCATAGCAGATGCTGTGAAGGAGTTTTATGAGAAGCACGGATGCCTCCCCTTGCCCGGCGGCCTCCCCGACATGAAGGCGCAGTCTAGCGTCTATATCCAGTTACAGAACATCTACAAGCGCAAGGCACGCCGGGACGCCGCGGAGGTCTTTGAATCGGTCCGCCGAGCTTCCGGGGGCGATGCCATCGACCCAGCCGAGGTGGACCTCTTTTGCAAGAACGCAGCCTTTGTCAAGCTCATCAACCCGAAAAATAATGATCCCGAGAGACTACTTGAAGTGGCCGGTACGTGAAGCTAACTAACGTTTTGTACTTAGTGTTAACGTTTTCCCGTTTTCCTTTTCGCCTTTCCGCGGCGGGTTATTATGTTGGCTGACTTCCGGAAACAACAAAACTGCAGACGAGGAACTCGCCAATGACGAGATGGCGAAGGAAGGCATCATGCCGCCGTCGCTGTTCCCCATCTACCTCGCACTGCGGGCGACGGCTTACACTCCCAGCGTCGAGACGTCGTTCCCGGAAGATATCCTGAAGGACATGATGACGCTGGTGCCCCAGTTAGGGGATCAGGAGCCCTACGCACATGAGCGCTACGAACAAGCTGCTCAGGAAGTGATCCGTGGCGCCAGCGGAGAGCTTCACAACGTCTCCGCCGTGATGGGCGGCATGGTGGCCCAGGAGATGATCAAAATCATCACCAAGCAGTACATCCCCATCAATAACACCTGCATATTCGACGGCATCGGCTCCCGATGCCAGGTGCTTCGCTTGTAGAACCCGGACAGCCGATCCAGGTGGTGGGGCCATACTCTTCCTACCTAGGCAATGAAATGAAAGGGGTGTGTGTCCCTTGCTTTGCCCGTCTATCCCCCTATTTCCCTCCCCACCCCCCTTATTTTTGTCGTATTTTCCCTCGCTCTAGCCGCACCTACTTTTCTGTCTCCTCCTTGCCCCCTCTCTATCCTCACACCCTTTACGATGTAGCCACCCGCGCTATCATTACCGCCTTCCAGCTGTCAGGGGACAAAAGCTAAAGTAGGCGAAGCGGGATCGGCGGTGGAAAGCAAAGGGTCATCGTAGCCCGCGACAGCGTCGAAGGCGGTCTATACCCCACGCGTAACGGGTGATGGGGGCAACTTAGACGAGGGAACGGGGCACAGCTGGATCTAGGTCCCATGAAGATCTACCTGGAAGGTTCTGAACGAAAACTTTTTCGACTCACGAGTCCAACTACCCCCGAATACGTCCAGAAGAAAGCATCATGCTGCTATGCAGTCTAGCGAACGAACATTCCAGACTCCTCTAATAAGCAAAGGAGCCAGGGAGCCCTATGGGGCTCTTGAGCTAACAATGGGCGTTTCAGCAAAGACGATTGAGGGATAATAGCAAAAGGCCGGATACGAGCATGTCCGTATTTGAATACGAGATGAAAAAAATCTTCCCTGTCCGCCACTCCGTTACCCACACTTTGACTTGATATGTAATAGCACCCAATGAGGAGGGCTAGGCTAGGAGGAGAAATAGATAATATGGATTTTATTCGACGGAGAGCAATAGGGGCAACCATCGTGGACCGGACCAGTGGAAGCACCTAGACAGTGAAACGACCGAAAGCTACACCAGGTCAAGGGCAAGGTAGCACAGAGCAGGCCAGAAATAATGAAGAGGCGTTGCGGAATCTGGGGTTCTGTGTCCGGGGTACGTTGTAAGTAGATATGTCCCCGAGGAACATCCCGTCGAGCATCCCGTCAATACATAAGGAATAATATTAATATTGCCCGCCGTTGGGGGCCGAAAGTCCGAGAGGGCCGATCTCGAAATCTGGGGAAGGACGGGTTGGGGGGCAAAGGAGTGTTACGATTCTGTGCCGGTGAGTAGGTGAATGTGATGGCGAGTGCATCTCTGTGAACCGCGTTGCGTATGGACCAATACGAAAAGGCCTACGGGAATATCGAAAATAGAAAATATATGCAAGGAGGAGGGCATCGTGAGGCTTGCTTCTTCCGTAAGGCGAAGGAATAGACGGGAGACCCTCGGGCAGCCCTCGGTAAGTTAAGCGTGAAAGAGAGAGAGAGAGAGAGAGAGAGAGAGAGAGAGAGAGAGAGA